TAGTTGTACTATTGGGCTAGGGGTACGAATGAGTCTCAGAAGAGAAATACTGAGAAACAAACTCTCATTGTCCTTGTGAGATGCTTATCAGGACAGTATTATCAGAGTGTAGATGTCTCAAGACCGCTCGTAGAGGGTCTCGATATTTGAAAGGCTTTCCACTAAAGCATCAAAGCCCAAGCTAAGGTGTTTCCACAAGAGAAGATCAGCCGTTCGAGATGATAAACTCCCAGAAGTCACCATCAACATGGCCAATAAAGGGAAGTCAGCACGACGTTCCAGTCCCAAGTCTTTGCCATTGATATCCCAGGATTTAACCTGGCTACGCTCCAGAATCGTCAAACGTAGGGATTATCAGAGGATGCAGAGGGGGTTATCCTCAGATGATGAAGTATCAGACGCTTGTTTTGTAGTCGTCTCAGACGACACAGTGTCCAGTACAGGATAAGTTCGGGAGGCGTTCACAATTACTCCTGATCAACTGTCTCAAGTGCTTCAAGATGCTTTAGCCAAACAGAAGGAAGACCTTAGAGCTAAAATAAATATGGAGATGGAGTTAGACATGCAATGCATGAGGGAATTACATGCCCAAAAACTTCAGACTTTGTCAAATCAGTTTGGTAAATACAGTCGTCGCAACACTACTAATCAAGTAAATAGCGATTCAGAAGTGGAAGAGAATGTCCATGCTGATACCCCTCCCAACAACAAAAGTGTTAGGGTGGTCCCATCGATAATAACAACACTGGGGGTGGTCTCATCGTTCCTCCCCAAAATCGTCCGAAGAAAGATGCACGCGAGGACAAGAAGATGAAGGAGCTCGAGAGCAAAATCAATGTCTTAATGTCCGCTCAAGAGGTGAAGAAGACCGGCATCCCATGTCCATACCCGAGAGAGTGGGAGTTAATTCCATATCCAACGAAGTTCAATCTAATTAACTTTATATCATTCGATGGGAGAGGCTCATCCACTCAGCACCTGATTTATTTCAAGCCCTACTTGAGCATGATATCTGGCAATGAATCTTTGATGGTCTGGTTATTCGTTGAGACCCTTCGTGGGGCCACCTTTAATTGGTACCATCGTCTCAAGCCAGGGAGCGTCAACAACTTGGATGATATGGAGACCCTATTTCTTACCAACTTATTCGTCAATGACACCGAAGTGTCAATCGGAACGCTTTTTGATGAGAAGCAGAAAGACGGAGAGTCGTCGATAACTTCGTCAAATGCTTCCGGAATAAGACAATGAATTACCGAGACCTAGTCACAGAGGAGTTCATCCTTCAGACTTGTCACAATAATATTTTTTTGGATGTGCTGGAAGCCATGGGGTGGTGCCATCCAAAACTTAGAAAGAACTAAAGATGTGTGAAGAACAAGCTGAACGTTTTCTCAAGAGGAAAAATGCTGAAAGAGGCCAACCGGCGGCACATCCTCCGAAGCAAAACTTCATTCCTCATGGTAGATGGAAGGAGCTGGCAACTACGGTAGATGCAAATCAAACATTCCAACTACAACCGTAACAACAAGCACTGCAGCATTCGCCATCTCAATGCCAGCAGTGACCTCAAAGGCAACAAAAAACTTTTGAACCGAAATTCCCGAAGGAGTATTCCTTCAAGGAAGATGAATTTCCTACTATTTTTAAATACCACCTGGAGAACAACAAAATTAAGTTGCCTCCAATCACTAACCAGGAGGAAGCCAAGAGGACGACGGATCCAAGATATTATGCATTCCACATGTGGGTCCATCACCCCACTAAGATGTGCTACACCCTTAAGGATAAGATCCAAGCCTTAACTGACGTCAGGATCATCATTGCAAAGCAGCCCAAGGAAAAGAAGGTGGGTGCAAACATAGTAACTATCAGCTTCGGCTCTGTTCCTTTAACATGGTTTCAATCGGAACCCGTAACAAAGGTAGAAATGAAGATCATCAATGATGATCCTCATGGACAACACCAGAAGGGGCTTGTGCCACATGCAACCCCCAACGACAAAGTTTTTTGGGTCTATCCAGATCTTTTTAAAGATGAATAGTGGACGTGGTCCTTGTCTAAGAAGAAGTCCAAGGGTAAGGGAAAGTCTTGTTGTGCCACCACAGTGATTCCGGAGGAAAATAACGAAGGGATCCCTACCTTCCTGCTTTCAGACGATGAGCATGAGGCTTTTGTGACCAGCGAAAAACCGACCTTTGCCACCAGAAGCAGGAATCAGTATCGATTCAACTAACCCAAGGTGGCCGATCAATCGGCTGAGCAGGAGGTGGTCAAAACCACGCCAAAGTCTTCTGAAGAACCTCAGCAACAGTCAGCTACCAAATAGAAGGAGGCTGCAGCTAAACAAAAGGAGAAAGAACCCTAGCACTAGGAGGTTCAGAACCCGAAGCAGTATCGATTCAATCGTTCGATTGGAAGAGATAAACCAAGAAGTTCGAATACTTAATACCATTTCGATATTATGACCCAATTGGCTAATATTCCAGCGAGGATAACCTTATATGAGTTATTACGGCTTTCCAAAGGCACGAGGGATGCTTTGCAAGAAGCTTTGGCCAATTCTGACATGTTTCTCACTCAGATCAAGCCAGTCCCCAAAGAAACCGGAGCCGTCAGTTCAACACTGCAACCTCGCGGCCAAACAGTTCCCTTGCATCACCAAAGAGGACATGCAAACAAGGAATTCAAAGCATGACAGGCCTTTGTATTTCACCGGATACATCGGCTTCAGCATTGTCAACCGGATCCAAGTTAATCCGGTTCCGCTGTCAGCATCATGCCACTCCGACTGATGTATAATCTCGGAATCCCTGCCAGTAAGCTGGCGTCCATGGGTATTGTTATCTATGGATTCAAAACCAGTGGGTCCAAACTATTTGGTAAAATCCGAATGAAGTGCCAACTTGGAGACCTGAGGTCCGAAGTCACGTGCTATGTGATCTATGCAGAGACCTCTTATAACTTACTATTGGGTCGACCCTGGATCCATGGTAATATTATAGTCCCCTCCACCCTCCATCAGTGTCTAAAATATGTAGACACCAATAATGAGGTCAAGACGATGGTCGCGGATAAACAACTGTTTAAAGAGTTGGAAAACTATTTCACCGATTCTCTTTTTTACGGTGCTGAATACGATATCAAATCATCGGCCCAAAGTACGGACAACGGAGAAGAAGCTGCCACTGAAACTAGGCTTGATTACGATAGAGGTTTTGTATTAAATGATATTATACTCTTTGTAATCAATCTTGATGGTGGAGAATCGTCATCTGTCATCGAATATCAGTATTTTCTCTTTCCTTAACGAAATCTTTTGTAGTCCTTTCTAAAGAAGGTTAGGTCTCATCTGTACCAACCAAACACCGAATTAACATCACAGTTGAAGTTCTCAATCTTGTATTCCATACACATCTTCTATGCGCATAAAACAAATTGAAAACCGAAGCTCTGATACCAATTTGTTAGAATTCGTGCACAATCAAGCAGAAATAATTGCGAAGAACGAGCTGGAGAAGAAATGAGAAGCAATCACAAATATAGAGATTTATGTGATTTGCCCAAATTTAGACTACATTAACAACAAAGACATTGGAGAAATTTCACTATCAAAAGAAAAAAAAAAAGAATTACAAGAACTCACAAAGGCCAAAAGCAACTCTCTGAAACTTCTCTGTTAACTCTCTTTTCTCCCAGTTTTTCTACAGGAGACAATAACGGCTTACTCAATAGGGCTAGGTCAAATTCTAATAATAAAACCCTCTTTAAATAATTCCCTAGACTTAGGCTAATCGTAGTCGTATTCTGATTTCAAATTGGGCCGGCCTGAGATTTCACAGATTAGAACTCAAATAATAATAAATGTGTGATCCAAGAATCAATAGGACTCATGGCCACATCCTGCTAAGAACATTCCAGTGGCGTAACAAAATATTGAGGGTTTTGAGTAGGTGTGCTAAACTACATCCGTATCTCACAAAATATTTGTACTCGTATCCGCTAGTATACAAATATAATTACTCAAATTTATAACGGATATGATATGGTTATAGATATGATTTTATAGTAAAATATCTGGATCCTTATCTGAAATATCCGAATAAATATTAGTCAAACTGTTACGATAGTGTTATCCTTAGATTATGGAGTTGAGGTTAATTTTGATGATCAGAATATCTAATCTTAGCTTTTATAATATAATGAACTTTTTCATGAACTTTTTGTATCACATGAACTATATTTTTTCAATACTATCTAGTTTCTTATATCTGTTTTGTATCCACCTGCATATTCACTTATACATCCGGATATATATCCATATCCATGGATATAAATTTTCCTTATCGAAATATATTCATATCTGTAAGCGGATATGGATATGATAAATATCATATACAAGCCGTATCTAGACCGAATGCAACCATAGTTTTGAGGCATAAGTTTCTACAGGGTCATTTTATGATTGGGTTAAAAACTTTATAATGACTGTACTATAGGCCCTATTACAAACTTTTATCAAAAGAATATTAAATTTATTAAAAATAAAAAAAGAGAACACAAGCTACATATTATTGGGCCGTGGAGTGGTCATTCCAAACTTCATAATGGTCTTGGATCGGTATAAGGTTTCTCCACAAAACGGACCGCGGATTCAAAGCAGATCTCATCGAATTCGAACCCGAATCCGAAGTCGAATCCGAAGTCGAAGTCACATCTGCTGACTAGATTCAATTCATGCGGAGGTTTCACTTTGAAATTTGAATCGGATTCTTGCGGACCCCTTTCGTGAAATTTTTTCGTCACCGTATGCACAGTTCAAAGCACAACTTTGAATACAAACTCCCTAATACATTTATTTATTGAATATTTTCACCTTGGGACCCAGTTCAAAACTTCAAACAACTTGCACTCCGAGTGGAAATTACTCCATTGTCTCGGACTTCTTTATAAAAAGACCCAAATCGCGAGGACTCGGTTTGTTCGCCAATCGTTTTTTTTCCGCACTTCCCCCTTCTTTCTAATTTATTTTTCACTCACCTTCTCTCGCTTAGGTCGGCAGGCTATTTTTCGGTTTCTCTCTCTTCCTCTTTTCGATCTCTAAAATCGACGAGGCTCTGTTCAAAAGAAAGAGAATCTTCGATTTCTGCTTGTTAATCTCATTTCAGTTCGTTCTCCGTCAAATTTCGAGGGATAATGGAGAATTTGATCTCTTTGGTGAATAAGCTTCAGAGAGCGTGCACTGCTCTCGGCGATCACGGAGAGGAGAGCGCGTTACCGACTCTTTGGGATTCGCTTCCGGCGATCGCCGTTGTTGGAGGCCAGGTCAGCTTTCGGATCTCATCGCCCTTTTGCTTCCTCTAATTTGTGATGTTTTCGCGAGATCTGCCCCTTTTCGTTTGGCAATTTTTTGGATCTTGGATTTCCTTAGCTGCGTCTTAGGGCTTTGATGTTTGATCACTTGGATTCCTTGTAAATTTCACCTTTTTATGTGTGTTTCTGGTCATGAATCTCATTTACGCAGGTTTTGCTTCGTTTTAAAGTAGATCTGTGTTTCTTTTGCAGTTGATTTGTAACTTTCATCTGTTCATCATGTTAAATTTTATGCTGTATGTTATCATCATCTATGGAGATCCACGATGATCTTAAGTATTAGGGCTAGGTCTTTTTATTAAGCCTTTCATGTCGCTATTCCACTAAGTAGTTTTGCTTCCGTTCGCGTATCAGAATCACTTGCCTTTTTGGTATTTAGAGTTTGAAAGAGTGCTTATCTTATTGTGTTATAAAGGTTTGAGTTTTATGAAGTAGCTTATGTTCAAAATGTTCATATAACTAGTTTGTATTATTAGCTACGTACAGAATTTTCTGTTTGTAGTTGCTATAACAATGTGCTGGAAAGCGATATAAGAGCTAGCCTGATGTTGTCTCATAATTTCGTTTTACTCTGTTTCTAGAGTTCGGGAAAGTCCTCAGTGCTGGAAAGCATAGTAGGCAAGGACTTTCTGCCTAGGGGATCAGGTAAGAGCTATGATTTTTATTTTTTTTTTATGAAAGCTTGCTTAATATCTGTGTAAGTAGTTATTTTGACTAAATTAGAGAATGATGCCAATGATGTGCTACAGGTATTGTCACTCGTCGGCCGCTCGTGTTGCAACTTCATAAGATTGAAGAAGGGAGAGAGTATGCGGAATTTATGCACCTTCCGAGGAAGAAGTTCACAGATTTTGGTAAGTTCATGCCTACAACAGTTACATTATTTTAAATTTTAACGTATTTATTAGAGTTGAATGTTGATAGTGTCTTACAGTTTTTATGGGGCAAGGTTGTTGATGGCCCTGACCATTAAATTTTTTGTAGTCAATGTGTCGTGAACTACTTGTAATGGGAACTAGTTATTGATTTAAGTTTTTTATATTTTCTTTACATACATTGTTATTCCAAATCCGTGATCTTAAGCTTTTGATTGTAGTTCTTTAGCAGTTGTAAGAGGTCTTAAGTGTATGCATCGTCATTGGAAGTTAGAATTACATTAAAGTGACATTCAATTTATTTTCCATTTCCTAGTGAGTCATGCTTTCGGAGGCTTCTCTTCTTGGCCTAGCGTCCCCCCATGAGGATTGTTGAATGCTATATTTGCTTATTTTCTCAAAAATGCATGATCATAATATTTCCGGGTAGATGATTTTCTAAAACTGGTGATGGCCTCAAGATCTTCGATCAGTTGATTGAGATCAGCATCTTCCTGGTCATAATGTTCTCACAAATGCTATATTTGCTTATTTTCTCACAAATGCATAATCATAATATTTTCGGGTAGATGATTTTCTGAAACTGGCGATGGCCTCAAGTTCTTCGATCATTTGATTGAGATCGGCATCTTCCTGGTCATAATGTTCTCACATTATAGACATCATCAACTAGTTTGGAAGTTGTTATTAAATATTGCACTTTATACATTGCTTATTAAATGTGTGTAGTGAATCCTCATTTTCAGGCCTACTTCCTTTATGTAGGATACTACTTTTCTTTGTAAGATACTACTTCTCTTTTCCTCGCATTTTATAGACAAGAAAGATTGCCACTTCCCGCTCATTGGTATATGAATGCTGCTTTCCCTCTTTAACCATCCAAGACCCTTCATCCTTCCTCTTATTCTTGGAGCTATTCCTTTTAATGAAAAGTTTATCAGTAAAGCGTAGATATTTGTGTTGGGTGCATGCACGCTCATAACCTCACATAGGAATGAATGAGAGGCTAAGCCTAGAGAAGATTGTTACTCGTGAGAGTAAGCAAAGTTGTTTCCTCTCCAATTTTTTTGGTTCTTTCAAATCCTAGTCCTTAATTTGGTAAATCCATCAGGATCTTACAAGTTACTTCTACCCTTGACACAAAGCGTTGAGGATCTGACCCATACTTCAAAGGTTTAGATTGTGGAAACATAATGCCAAATTCTTTTGTCTCTTGCGAGAATAACAATCCATGGTGGCTCCACTTTAATGACATCACCACCAGATGGCCTTGAAACAAGTTTCTGTATTTTAGTCTTATTGTTAGACAATTCATTCTATCTCATGCGTGGAGGACGGTTGGAGCTGCCTTTTAGAGCGTGTTTGTTTCGGCCAAAAACCCCTGGATTTTGATTTCTAGGCTCTGACAATACTAGAAAACCCCAGATCTCCTAAAAAGTTTTCATAAGAACGTGTTTTGTTCGCCAAAAATTATAGGAAATCAATCTTCTAGAAACCCCCAAAAGTGGTTAAATTCATGGAAATTTATTCAGAGCTGTTTGCTCGAAAATGGGTGGAAACCTATTAAATGAGCATTAAAATATTACAGAGAGAGGGTGACAACTGTAGTTTTTGACAACCCATCTCTTTTTCTCGCCTTTTCGTAAATGATTGGTTTCCTGTTTTTTTTATGCGATCCGAACAATAGATTATGATGGACATAAATTTCACCCCCTCACTTTTTATTTTATTTTATAGACACCCCTTGCTTTAATTGATGAAACAAACGAAAAAACCCAAATCTGGAAACACATGGAAAACTCAACAAACATGTTTTTTGAGCAAAAACCTATTCCCATTAAATTATGGAAATGAAACAAACACGCCTGAGTCGAAGCCCCTTAAAAACTAGTGGGTTTTGCTTGGATTGCTTGGTATAAATTATTAGCCCATGACCCATTTGCTTAAGATTCTGAATGAAGGAATCATGGTTCCAAGGTTACTGAGAACTAATAAGATAAATTTGCATGTGTTACTTATTTTTCTTGTGCATATGATAAATAAGGTTCATTTGCTTGGCATCATATATAACAAAATAGCCTTTATTTATTTATTTATTTTGAGAACCCTTTTACCTTTTCCCTTTCGTTTTCTTTTCTTTCATATGTTAGGGCCTGTTTAGTTGGGTTACCATAATAATGGTAAACCTTTTTTTGTACAAGAAGCCCTTTTTAGTGGTTTCAAAGGTTTGCTTGGAAAAGTATTTTTAGTGTTTGGTTAATCATGAAATCAAGGGTGAAATGTGTGTCCACCTTTTCACTATAGGTTGGATTGGGAAAAAAGGTAGGAAACCAAGTGTTCACGAAATAGCTTTCCTCAGTTTCATTTGTTCGTTTTGTTATGAATCATCCTTGGAAAAGTAGATTGTGATCATCATTGGAAAAGTGGGATATTTTTTTAGTGAAAAATAATATCCTTCTGACCCATTTCAGCCCAAGTCTCTCCAACAAAATGGGATTATTATTTTCGTTGATGTGGAATTTTTTTTTTGAGGGGGGGTGGGT